TATTGCGGGGACGTTGCTCGAGGTCGATCGTCGCCATGGTTTGTTTCCGACTGACGGCAACGACACGACACGGGCATACGCCCGTTGGCGTCCATGTTTATCCGGAGGAATATGAGCTGGCAGTCTGTGCTCTGTGTATTATCCGGACTACACGAGCCAGACGGCCCATCTTGGCAACGGGCGAGAACCTTGCTGCTTGGTCCACTCATGCAGGTACAGTACTGCAGCACGAGCATAAATAGTATGGCATCGCGGTTAGAGTCCTAGTATGTGCTTACACGACCTTAGCTACAACCGCATGATGCCGTCGCTTTTGACCGGCTGCAGCGTCGTCGACTTGGTGTCCATCGACGGACGGCAGAGAACGGCGAGCGTCTCGAGGCTATCGAGTGGCTTGAGCGCCGACTCCATTGCGGCTTGCTGCTCGTCGTGCATCTTTTCGGCGCGCCAGCGCTGGTAGAGCAGTACGACTTGGCGCACCATGAGCGCCGCGAGCACGAGGAGCTGAAGCGCGACGATGATGTTGCTCACAGCGTCGTGGAAGCCTTGGGGCAGCCCTTCGATCGACGAGATCAAAAACATCGAGAGGATCAGCGTCACAATCTTGACGAGCGTGATGAGCGCCATCGAGTGCTGCAGGAAGCGCGTCTGGAACGGCTGGCACTGCTCGAGGTGCACGAGAAAGCAAATGTGGAAGACTAGGATGAGCACGATCTGGAGGGTTGCGTTCATAAAGGCCGCGCCGGTCGTCATGCCGCAGAGCAGCGCCAAGAGCATCTTGGGCGCAAAGAAGAACCGGTTCTCAAACGTATACTCGTCGTAGAGGGCGCCGTAGCGCATGTTGACCGCCTTCTTTGTGTGCTCGACCTTGGCCACGTCGAGGAGGTCGCGTTCGTGCTTCTGGATGATATAATAGCCAAAGCCCAAGAGCCCGACGGCCAGAAAGAGCAGCGAGAGGATCGCAAGGAAGAAGGAGACGTCAAAGACATGGTCGCGGAAACCGAGGTAGAGCTGGTAGACGCCCGTGACACCGATCGCATACTGCGACGCCATGCCGAGGATGACGAGCCCGCCAATCGCATAGTCGAACCACGTCTTGGTCATGTCCGGCTTCTTGAGCACATGATGGACAAAGCCCACGGCGAGACCGTAGAGCAAGAAGACGGCGGCGCCCGCGACAAGAACACCGAGGAGCGTGATGAGGAAGAGGCGGTTCTCGGGCACACCGATCGTGACGGCGTACTGGCACACGCCTTGGCAGTCGCCGGACGTCGTTGTGAGGAAGCGTGTCGCTTGGGTTGCGGATGCCGTGGCGTTGGCGTCGTCCGAAAAGAGGAACCCGAGGTAGTTGAAGACCGCAAATTTCATCTGCGCACCAAATTCCGTGAGCACGTTGCTCTTCTCGGAGAGCGGGATCTGGTTGAGCATGCTGCCAAACTGCAGCATGTCGAACGTAAAGAGCATCATCGACGAGCTCGCAGCGACCGTGGTGGCGGCCGACGCCGACGACACGAGGCCGCCTGATATCGAAACCACCGTGCCAATCGCGATCGTGGCCGCGGCGGTCGTCTTGGCGAGCGGTGCGACTGCCGCCTCGGCGTTGGTGGGCACCCAGTTCCAGAGCGGATTGACCGCGGGCGCCGGTGTTGGCGAGGCGGGTGCCGTTGTCGTCGACGACGACCACGGAGCCGGGCACCCGCAAGACGCCAGCGTCGACGTCGTGTTGCCTGCCACCGGGCACACGGACGCCACCGACACGTTCCGAATCGTCGACGCAATCGCAGACGGAAAGAACGACGCAACGTCGATCGACGCGTAGATGGACGAGAAGGCCCCGGCGTGAAGGTGGTAGTTCCACACCCCGGCGTCGCACGATGGAAGCGTGCAGAGCGAGACGCAAACATCATGAAGCGAGGGTGCGGACCCTTTGTACACGGCGCACGCCGCTGCGTCAACAGCCGCCGACACGTTGAGCGGCGCGCCGGCGCACGTGAGGTTGCGCGTTGCCCACTGCCCGTAGAACGTCGCGTCGCATGCGATATCAAACGGACTCGGTGTCGGAAGCGGCGACAGCGTAATCACGTCGTTGCTGCCGCTGCGACTGCCGCTCCACGAACCTTCGTTGGGCACTGGCGTCGGGACGACCGGCGTCGACACGGGCGTCGGCTGCGGGACGAGCGTCGAAGTGTTGGTGTGATTGCTGTCGACGACTTCTCGAAGACGACGGTCGATTGTCGGTGCCGGGGTCTTTGTCTTGCTTGTCGGTTTGGGCGTGGCCGTGGTCGTCGGAGTCGCTGGAAGCGTTGTCGGTGCCACCGTGGCCGTCGTCGCGACCGGTGTAGCGTCCGGCGTGGGTACCGTCGTCGGCATCGGTGTCGTTGCATTGGCGTCCGGCGGCAATGTGGTTTCGTTGGGCAGCAACGACGTCGGCGCCGGCGTCGATGCATCAGGAAAGAGCGTGGCGGGCGCCATCGTTGGCTCGTCGTTGGTGCTGCTCGGATTCTTGGTCGTACGGCTTGGCGTCGACGTGGGCGCTGGCGTCGACGTGGGCGCTGGCGTCGCCGCCCGCGTGGTGTATACGACGCTGCACGTCGTGCCCGCCTCGGCGATCGCGATGGCGCTCACGAGCCACAGCACACGCCGCATGACGAGATGGAGAATGACAGCCGTCGGCCAGAGGCGCGCAAGAGACAGAGGCGCGCCATGTTACCTAATTTCAGGCATCGGCGATCTCTTGGTGTTTGTATGTGGTAGAGGAGGCGAGGTCAATTACACTGCGGAACCGGCTCTTGAATCGGGATTTGTCCTGATTGAAATATCGAAATCTAGGATCCCGCTTTTCGAACCGCCGCTGATTGGCCAGACGCGATGCGTGTCACGTTAAAGGTACACTTTTGTGCCCACCTGGTCGCGTGACCAACGCGCTTGGAGGCAACGGCAATTGGCCGACGCGCCTGGGCTGACACAAAGGGAAGTCGCGCCGTCGCTTTGGCTGCACTTACTACTAGTGAGCAAGGGTACCGCGACAGCACACGCAGTGAAGTGGGCTGCATCAACCACCAGAGAAACGCAACCTTGGATGAACATATTGTCATTCATATACGTAAATAAAGTTGTCGACTATGTGTCTACAAGCGGGCGCTTCCGAGAGTTCGTGGAGTGCGGAAGGTACGCGCACGTGGCCACTTGCGGTGGCACAGGCAGCGGCTTTGCAAAGTAGGACGCCGCTCGATCGACGATCCGCTGGACGCTCGCGGGCACTGGCTTTTTCTTCTTCGTCGCTGGCTTGCGGCCGGATGCGCGGCCCGTGCGGGCTTCGGAGAGAAGCTTTGTCAAGCCGATCCAGTGGATCATCTCGGCCCGTTTGGCTGCAATGGCAATGCGCCACTGCAGCAGATGCACCGGCATGTCGAGCACAATCGAGCGGTAGCGCTTGCGGTACACTGCGCGCAAGAGCACCGATCGCACGCAACGCGGTGCAGGCAGCAGCGTATCGAGGCGACGCAGCGCGCGGCGCTCGGTGGTCTCGAGAAGCGAAGGCAGCACTGTGACGCGAAAGCGGCGCTGCTGAACGCGCAAGCGAAGGTATGCAAGGACGTTGCAGAAGACGCGGTGGTTGAGCCGGCTGCGCAAGTACTCGTCGGCAAACTTGCGCGCTTCGGTTGCCCAGCTAAAGGTGCCGCCGCAAAAGCACTGAATACTGTCGCAGCCGTCGCCCTTGGTGAGGTGCACGGCGCAGTGCGGGCACTTCGCCATCGCCGCGTCTGCCTGCAGCGTTCTGCAGGGCTCACCTTCGTGGTGGCCCGATGTCTTGCACACAAAGCAAATGTCGTGCTTGCAGCACATGGTAGCGGTGAACGGCGAGTGCTGGCGCCAGCAGAGGTAGAGCCGCGCTTGCCGCTCGACGTCGTCAAACATGCGGACGAGCACCGTGAGCGTAGGATCGAGGAGCAGACGCTGCGGCACCTGGCGTCGCACGAAGGCAAAGAGCTCTTGCGCTGAGACCTCGTAGCGACTGTACGCGCTGCAGCGATCGAGGAGGACTGGTGCTATCTCTTGCACCGCCGAGGGCAGGTGCGTCGCGAGGAGCTCGGCAGCGTTGGGCAATATCCCGTCGAAATGCGCCTCGACGGACTTGCTCTTTGTCACGTTGGGCAAAAGGCTCTTTGTGTTGTGGCATGCAGGGCAGCGGACGCTGACGGCTGTCGTGACTGCAGCTTGCAGCTCGTGAATGCTAGCGGCCTTGGGCGCGAGAGCACGAAGGCGGCGAAAGCTCACGGACCGAATACAGATCGGACACTCGACGCCACGTACGATACCGGTCATGTGCGAAGTCACTTGGATCTGCAAAAAGCGAAGAAAGCAGTCGCGGCAAAAGATCGCTGGGCACGACGCGCCGCAGACAGCGGTGATGACGTCGCGGGTCCGCGCGTAGCACGCGGCGCACGTCTGCTTGGGCTGGCGCGTCGGTGTCGAAGCGATTTGCGCGCTTTGCGTGTCGAGGGCAGCTGCAAGGGGCGCAAGCGCGGTCATGTGGATCTGGCCTTTTCCGAAATGGCTCAATTGCTCATTTTCCTCGAAAAGACCATCACTCTAGAGATATCCGCGGACCAGGTAGCCCGTGTGAATGCTTGTCGTGCTGGACGATCGTTGCCCTCGGGGAGTTGCCCTCGGCCATGCACTGCTTCAGTGAGCAGGCAGACGCTAGACAAGCCAAGATGGCACCGGGTGCTGCCACGCCACCACGACGCACACGAAGTCGCATCAGCCGCCGACGTTGACGCAGCGTGGACTGCCTCGATCAAGCGTCCCGGTCATTGACGCCATGGCAGCCAAGCGGACTGCCAGCGCAATGCCGAGACTTGACTTGGAAGCGCGAGACACGCCGTTGGTCGGTGGTACCGCAGTGTTCGACTGCCAGCACTAGCTGCGCACACCGTGCTACGCCAAGGCGTGGCGAGCGCTCGGGGTGTTCGCTATCTCCTCTTGTCTCTATGCGTACCAGAGAACTGGTCGAGGGTTCAAGCACTGTCAAGTCATGCATATTTGTAATTAATGATATGATCTCAGCACGTCAAGGCTCGGCGCATGACTGGCAGGGCAACCCCATCCGTGGCCGGCGACACCTCCGTCTTCTTGGAGCCGCGCTCGAGAAAGCTCGCCATCTTGGATGCGAGGAGGCAGCACAGTCGCCAACGCAAGGTAGCTCGAAGCAACGCTCGACGAAAGCGCGTCATCGCTGGCGACGCTAGCCGCTCCGAGATGCGCTCCGACCGGCGCGCATCCACATAGGCCGGCAGACGCGAGACGATCTCGGACGACCAGCGGCGCCGAGCCAAATCGTGGCGCCACGTCATGACGTAGTCCGGAAGCCGCGCAAGGTACCGCCGACGGCGCCAGCGCACAATACCTGAGCCCAGCGTCTTCATCCACGTCGGTGACGAGCCCATCGTCGATGAGATCGCAGCCAGACGCTGAGCCAGAACAAATGGGCCAATGGCAGGCACGACCGTCGTCCGAAAGCGCCGACGGTAGACGCATTGCTTTGCGTATGTCGCCAGTGCGCGCTTGGCTGACTTTGTAGCCAAGAGAGCCTGCGCACGCAGGTGCAGCTGAGTCCACTCGACCTGCTCTGGCCAGCTAAAGCTCTCGCCGCAAAAGCACAAGATCGAGGCGCAGCCGTCGCCCTTGACGAGGAAGATCTTGCATGCAGGGCACTGCGCCATGTCATCAAATTCGTACTCACTGATGTCGCAGTCGTGGTCGTCATCGTAGTCCTTCTGGCAGATGAAGCACACTTCGCGCTCGCAGCACGGAGTCGTCATCGAGCAAGCACGGTGCATCCAATGGGTGAAGAGCAAACCAGCGCGCTCGCTATCGCCGATACCTCGGAGGATCGTGTCAACTGCCGTGTTGGTGGCACACGCGCGTGCATAGAGCTCCTGCACCGCGAGCTTGTGCTGGACGTACGCCATCACGTCGCCGGCCAGCACAAGGTCCGTTGGTATCTCAGACTCGGGCGAGGCAATGTGCGTCTCGTAGAGTGTTTCAGTCTCGGGAAGGAGGCACGTTGTAGAGTCACAGTCGGGGCACCGGATGAAGCACGCCGTCTTGACGCGTTCGTTCAAGTCGTACAGCAGCCCGCGGGTGGCGTCGTCGCTGCAACCAAGGCGGAACAAGTGCATGTTGACCGGCCGCACACAGAGCGGGCAGTGTAGCTTGGTCAAGACACCGGCGATCGCACTCGCAAGCTTGGAGGCTACATACGCGCGCAAGCAGGCGACGCAGACGGCGCCGGCGCACGAAGTCTCGTCACCGCAGACAGCGCGGATCGTAGCGACGTCGTCGAGGCAGATGGCGCACGTCGTGGGCTCGTGCTCGGGCTCCATGAGGCAAATGCAGAAATGGTATTCCTGTTCGATGATGCTGACAGGATCGAGGTGAGTGATGGTGTTCGAGGAACACAGACAAGACACGCGGATCTCAGCCGCAAGATTTGACCGCAGTGGAGATTGTGGTGACCTGGCTCGTCCCATGGCGTAGTGCGAATCGGTGCCTGGGCGACTGCTGCGTGATGGTCCCTCTTGAACTTCCATCGCGCTGGATTTTGAAGTGAATATTCATGGCTCATGACGTGGCATCCTGTCCGCAGGGTTTGCCCTAGCGCGGTTTTTCGGGCTGTGGCCAAGGGCTTGGCCTTTGCCGAGCGTCTGACCATCGCGAGCATAAGGGAGCATGCGCTTGGTACGCCAGAGGGAAGCTCCCATCAGCGTCGCTGTCGCCTGTCTTGTGCTGTTGGATCATGTGGCCATTGATGTTGCTCCTATTGGGACATACCAGTTTATCCGTGGGAAATACCATCGTTTTGGGACAAAGCCATCATTCGCAGGATAAAAGTATAATTCTGCCGATTCCCCCAATGTGGGTAAAATTGGCAAATCCGATTCACCCCACCGTCGGCTCGCCATACATCGATGCCACGCACGAGTCTGCCGTGCTTGCTCGTGGATGCAGCCTGCTAACACCCAACACGGCGCAAGCGAGTAGTGCACCGAAACCTAAGTCCTCAGCGAGGTAGAGCGCTGTCTTCATGCGCGATGCAGACGCTCTGTGCAATCAACTTTCCAGTCTCAGCTACACACCCGTGCTGCAATCAGCCACAAGCTCTTGATACGGATCGGTCGTGGCCCTGAGACAGCGACCATGCTGCGTGCTCGAGGTACTTGGTGTTTTGTGGTTGTCCCGTCGAAACGGACGGGTCAGACGGGGATATGCGGCAGTGCGATTTGGAGCCACGAGTGGAATAGACGGTATGAGCCTGCAAGCACCCCGTCGGTATACGTACTGTACCTGGCGACAGCACTTTGTTCGTACAGAAGTCATTGCCAACGAGCTTTGTAAGCCAAAGTCCTTTTCACTTCGTCAAGCGGACAATCTTGCTACCTAGAGATTATTGCGTCGGCGCAAGACTCTTGACGTATCGGCATGGCAGCGTCATGCGTCTGTCTGCTGCGCACCGTTGCAGCCGGCGACGTTGTCGTCGTCCGCTCCTGGATGAGAACGTGCGACGAAGCAGCCCGCGTCCATGGCCCAAGATCGGTGGCGGCGACCGCTGATTGGGTGGTGCCCCTATCTTGCTCACTCTATCGGACGCCAACCACTTGGTTTTTGTATGGTTGGGTCCAGCGAGTCAGTTCTGAAAACTTTCTTTTCAGCGCTGCCTACTTTGTACCTTGAACGTCATTTTTTAAAGCTTACCTACGCTTTGTAGTGTAGAATTATAATAATGGTAGAGGCTACCCACAGCGGGTGCAAATCCGCATATGCAAAAGGGAGTGGCGGAGGAACTTGCCTGGAACGCGAAACGCACAAGCGGCGAAGACGACATTTCGCTTGCGATCTCTCACGACCAGATGGCAGCTCTGCACGACGACGGCCTCGACGAGCGGGTAGGCGCATGCGATGGCACCTCCGGCGGCGCATGACGGCCTCGTGTGTCTAGCTACGCCTCAAGATCCAGCCGCATCCGCCCAAGTTTCCCTTCAAAGGCCATCCGTTCGAGATCACAGTCTACCTCGTCGATGGCTCCGAGCACTTGCGGACCGGGTGCGTGGCCGCGCCGCCCATGGCTGCCTTCATGCGAACGTTCTCATTAGGATCAAGCTGCCACTGCAGGTCGACCTCGTCATTGGCGAGAAGCAAGGCGACCGGCGCATGCTGCGCCTCGACCCGTCGACGAAACCCCTCATTGACGGCGATGGCATGTGCAAGCTCAAGCTCTCGATCGAAGAGACGTCGATGGCCCACGGCAACAAGAAGTTCCACTTGTCCATATCGCCTGCGTCCAGCGGTCCGACTGTCTCTTCTAGCTCGGCGGTCTCATCGCTGCTGTAGGCCTTGACGTGACCCCGATTCTCTCCAACGAAATGACGGTCATCCGGCACCGCCTCGTGATCCAAGAGGAGCTGCCCGAGCTGTGGTACAAGGACGAAGGCGGGCGCGACAAGTGCATGCTTTTGCCCGTGCACCTGGTCGACCACAACAACAACCCGGTCGGGTCCCGGCCGGTCCCACTGCGTGTGACGCTGCTCTACGAAAACGAGCACCCGGTGCTCAAGCAGGACATTCTCAAGATGTCGCCCGACTCGCAGCGCGTCATTGACCAGCACGGAAAAGCCGTCTTGAAGCTGCGCATTGAAGACGTGAGCAAGAACCACCAGGGCCAAGCCTTCCGGCTCAAGGTCGAGGCCGACACGGCGCAGTCGCCCATCAACTTTGACGTCGCCTTCGACCTCAGCACGACCATTTCCGTGCGGTCGAAGCGCAACAAGCGCCGCGGACCGCCGACGTCAAGCGCACTTGGCGGCTTGAAGGCGCCGCACATCATCACCGGCGAAAGCCACGGATCTCCGACGCACCTCGACCTCGTGTCGCCATCGGACGCCAAGCGGTCGCGGCAAGACCACCTCGACGTTCCGACGTCGAGCGCCGCCAAGATGAACCCGAGCATGGAGAGCGTCCTGAGCTGGACCGGGTCGGTGGTCCAAGGGCTGCAACACCTCGAATGGCAACCGATCGGGTTTGAGACCAAACCGGATGGCTCGATGGACCGCGACCGGCCCATCTACCGGTGTCCGGCTTGCTGGCGCTACAAGGACACGCTCACCTTCGACACGCAGCAGCACGACGCCAAGTGCCTCATCGCCAACCTCCTCTTGACGTACGCCACCGAGACGGTCCACCACTACGACGCGCTGCTCAAGCTCACCGACAAAATCCAAGAACGAAGTGGCAACAAGGGCTTTGCGGCACCGAGTGCCATCGCCGCCAGTAGCAACGGCGTTAGCAACCCCAGCAACAACGGCAACAGCAACAACAACGGGCCGACGCCGCAGAGCATGCCCATGTACGGCAAGCCGCCGTCTGGGATGGTGTCGTCATCCGCGGCGACAGGGCCGCCGCAACTGCAGCGGGGCATCACCGACATGGTCAACTCGCTCGACGTGCCGCCCAACCTCTTTCGTGGCAACTCGTCGAGCCTCGCAGAATTTTCCGAGCTTCTCGACGACTCGAACGGCAACAGCTTTATGGCGCCGACGTCGTCGGAAGTGAGTTTGGCGATCGAGGTGCAAGTGTACTGCGTCATTGCGCGCATGTCGGCGCTCAGCAACAATGCGTACGCGGGGTTTCCAGCCTTTGACATGGGGTTGCACCTCCTCGGGTTCTACCAAGAGTCGCAAGACACGTCGACGACGCAGATTGTGTTTTGCCCCATCAACGACGTGCACGGCATCTCGACGTACGAGGTGCAGCGCTTCCAGATGATGGTGCGGCAAGAGCTCAAGGAAGAGAGCAAGGCGGTGTTCCGACTCGACCGGTTCTCGAACGACCTCAACAAGCTCAAGGAAAACGTCATGTTTTTCCACTGGGAAACCAACAAGGAGCGCCAAGTGCCCCAGTGGGTCATGTAAGCGTAGTAGGAGTAGGAGTAGGAACACAAGGATACCATCATACACGTTGCAACACATTTTTGAAGCGGTTCTTGATATATTCAATATCTCACAAGCTCAGAGGTTAAAGCACGAGTTGATGTTTCGTTTTTTGAAATAGCTATCCCTCGGTGCGTGGCTTGTAGGACAGGGAAGGATATTTTTGCTTGATTCCAGGATACCTCGATCTATCTGCACGCCTCCAGGTGTAGTGCTTTATCTGGGACCTCTTTCGAGGAATTCACGGGTTGTCGACGTGGTTTTGTCGACGCTGAGCACGTTAGATAGAAAGATAGATAGAAAGATAGATAGAAAGATAGATAGAAAGAAAGAAAGATAGTGGTAGTCAGGCAACTGCTCGACGAGAAGGGCGATTGAACAGCACCTAGCCCTAACCTAGCCCTAATGACGTGGCAGCGCCGTAGGCGAGTACAACACGGTGCCCCGTCCCGCTCGCGGCAGTTGGATGTGTTTTCTCGCGCCGCGTCGCAATGGATCCGAAAAGCAGGGCTGGTACCTCGCTCGCTGGTCGCTTGAAATGGCTGGTGCACGGACGTAGCAGTTCTTGTCGAAATCTATTGCTCAAATTTGAATTGGCTCGGTTCCGATCATGTCGTTCAACTTGGCCCACGACCGCGATGTCCTCAACGGCATGACGTACTATGAAGTACTCAAGCTCGCCAAGATGCACCACGTGCAGAGCACCAAGTACCGCATGAGCAAGACGTATATGATCAACGCGCTCTTGGGCATGGACCCGAAGAGCAACGTCGACCGCCTCGACTGCGAAGACAAGATTGCGGCGGCGCACGACTTTCGCCAAGTGCAGGACGAGGTCGTTCATAGATTCTTCTACACCTTGTACGATGTATACGCGGTAGGTCGAGGAGTACATCTTCCAGCACGACCTCGGGTCGAGCGACGTGCTCTTGATCTCGTGGAACATTTCGTCCATCAACCGCGTCGTCCAGGCGCTCAAGGTGATGACCAACGCGGTGCCGCACTGGTGCAGCATGAAGACGATGGACCACGTGACGAACGATCAGCTGCTCGACGAGCTCATGGCGTACCTCTGCTTTGGCATCGAGCGTGTCGGCCGCGTCATGGTACTGCCGGAGACGCCCATGGAGTGGCTCCTCTTGGGGCAGCGGCTTCGCGACATCTCGTACGACCGATTCATGCAGGACTTTGCCCGCGTGCCCGGCGTCTTTCCGCTGGCGACGTTCACGCTGGTGCGCGCGGCGCACTACACGGCGCTTCCGATGCTTCCTATGCCATTTGGTGCCAACAGCTTGTTTGAGTAAGCTGTTATGAGTAGCATGCTGCAAGCATTAACCCTAATCACTGACACTGGGTGGTATTTCCACTTGCTCATTTTGCCATACTTGCAGCACAACGTACGAGTGATAGGATATCGTTGATAGCGTCGATGCAACACTAACCCTCCCAGACCTCAAGGCGGATATAATGGTGCTTCGAGATGCTGGCGAATTGTGTGTGCGACCTCCATCGCGGTCGGCCGATAGTTCGGTGCTCGGGCAATGCTCTCGTGCACCCACGAGTTGCCGGCAGCTGGAATCGCCCGCATACACTGTTTGTGCACTTGATAGACATGGCGTATTCGCTTGCTACTGGCGCCAGGGACCGACTACAGAGGCGTATGCACGGACAGGCATGGGCTGCGTCATTGACGCCGTCGCTCATACCTTCTATGGTCACCTAGAAACCGACAAAAATAATGGCTGATTTGGGAGCCGATAAAATTTACAGATGTAATAGTTAAATGCTAAAAAGAACTAGAATCGATAGATCTGGCTGGGCAAGAGGAAGCGAGCCTAGTCCTCTGAATAAAATTTGAATGCGTTTTGACGAAGTTATCGACGTTCTACCAACGTGAATTTGGCATACCGAGTCGCATCCGGTAGGTATTATCCAGTGGTGTTGGTGGGCGTATCCGGTCGGTTTAAATGGTCATCCATCCCACAAGTGCCGCAATTCACGCGCCAAGAACGCCGCCATCAACCCAGTGAAGCTTATCGCGCTCGCCCAACTGCACCCAAATGCAATCGCCTTATTCACCTTCGACCAGTCGACCAACCACGCGGCGTTTGCCCCCGACGCACTCCGCGCCTCGAACGAGAACTTGAACCCCGGTGGTGCTCAAGCCCTAATGCGCTCATGCAAGTCTTCGGACGGCCGCGACCAGCCTTAGTATTCGAAGCCAGCATGGAGAAAGCGGGCCAGGCGGAGCAAGTACTTCTTGAGCGTGGCGGCGATCGTCGCCACACATGGCCTGCGGATGAAGCTCCCAAACGAAAAGGTCTATGGCGGCGCCACCGAAGGCAGGCTCATGTGCTGCGCGAAGCACAGCGTTGCGTCGCAACCCGACTTTCACAGGTATCGCTCTGGAAGGAGACGGTCACGGGCGAGGGCCACCACTGCTTGTTCTTGCCCAAGTATCATTGCGAGTTGAACCCCCTCGAAGCCTACTGAGGTGCAGCCAAGAGCTACGCTCGGACCAACTGCAAGTCCTCGTTCGAAGGACTCAAGACTTGCGTCCCATAGAGTCTCGAAAGCGATCCGTTAATATCGATGCGGAAGTATTTGTTTTAATGTGGGAAGCAAGCGAAGATGTTGGCACGAGGCTGTATATTCAAGAGTGAGATTAAAGAGAGCCTATGTGCTGAGAGCCGAAGAATACCAGGAGACAGGACTGTGGTAAAGCTGACTCGGATAAGCAATATCTGCAAAGAAGCATGCTGTTCCATGTTGAAGCACACCACTGAGTAAGCTGGGCATCCAACCTCAATCTGGGCTGGCAAGGGAACGTTGTACGGATACAACCGTATTGTTTCTGGTTAAGTATGTTATCCGTATACAATTCCTCAGTCCAGTTAACAGTATTTTCGTCGATGCGGACACTTCGTCGAATCGTACCGTTGAGGCTGCGATAACGAGCTGACGAAGGTCACCCACTAGAAGTATAGGAGCCATCGACGCATTCCCAAGTCTATTTTACAAGAAAAAGACGCTCCACTCGCCGAAATGAAGTCGAAATAGTTGATCGATCTAAAAAAATAGCTTGTGTTTTCACGGTCAAAATTTGGCCGTTTGTCGGTCTTTAGATGACGTGCACCATACACCCATCCGGATACATGATAAACTTGCAGCCGATGGTCGACGCCGCAGTCCCCACTGCGCCACATCTACTTGGCCAGTTCGAGAAGAAACCAGCGGGAAAGGTGCCTCGTCCCAACCAGACAAGACACCGTTGGAGTGCCTTCTTTGGCGGTTTGTCGTCAGATTTGAATTGGCTCTGTTCCGATCATGTCGTTCAACTTGGCCCACGATCGCGATGTCCTCAACGGGATGACGTACTACGAAGTACTCAAGCTCGCCAAGACGCACAACGTGCAGAGCACCAAGTACCGCATGAGCAAGGCGTATATGATCAACGCGCTCTTGGGCATGGACCCGAAGAACAACGTCGACCGCCTCGACTGCGAAGACAAGATTGCGGCGGCGCACGACTTTCGCCAAGTGCAGGACGAGGTATGTCTACTCATAACAGGGATCCCATTGAACTATTGCATTAGGTCGAGGACTACATTTTCCAGCACAACCTCGGGTCGAGCGACGTGCTCTTGATCTCGTGGAACATTTCGTCCATCAACCGCGTCGTCCAGGCGTTCAAGGTCATGACGGACGCGGTGCCGCACTGGTCCAACGCAAAGAACTCTGGGGCGATGACGCACGAGCAGCTGCTCGACGAGCTCATGGCGTACCTCTGCTTTGGCATCGAGCGCGTCGGCCGTGTCATGGTGCTGCCCGAGACGCCCATGGAGTGGCTCCTCTTGGGGCAGCGCCTCCGCGACATCTCGTACGACCGATTCATGCAGGACTTTGCGCGCTTTCCAAACGCCTTTCCGCTGGCCACGTTTACGCTGGTGCGCGCGGCGCACTACACGGCGCTCCCGATGCTCCCGATGCCATTTGGCTCCAACAGCTTGTTTGTGTAAGCTGTTATGAGTAGCATGCTGCAAGCATTAACCCCAATCTCTTATATTGGATGAATTCGCCACACTGCACGGTTTGTACGACGTAGAAATTGGTAATTGCACGCATGTAGTGACAAGCGGTGACATGGGAGTCTCCGAGATCGATGCTTTGTCCACAGAGAGACTGCCTTCGAGCCGAGGTCCGCTATTGGAGATGTTGGAGCAACTGCCTTTGGTGGGATAAAACCGAAGAAGGTTTTAATGCTATGCTCGCTCTTGGGCGTAGAACTCGTCGCCTGATGTATCAACAGGCACCTAGCGAATACATTCGCAGAGTCTGCTAGTCTGCCGACCCGTTCAATGCATCGACACGATCGCGGATTTCTGCTGGAGTTTGTCGTCCACCAACGCCATCCATCACGCATTTTTGTAGTGTACCTGACCGCTCTTTTAAACAGCCAAGGCCAGAATATCCTTGATGCACCTGTTACCAGCGTTGGTTGCACGGACAGCATGCACACTAGCGTGCGTAGCACTTGATAGATGGAAGCAGCTATCGATTTGTCAATACGAAGTGTATGGCCCGAGGTGCATGTCGACAGAGTCTCATACTGCCTGGCACCGATCCGGATAAAATTCAGGTCGTGAGTCGCTTCCAACCTCCAACCCCTAGCGCCTCGTCGCGCGTGATTGTCGCGGGCGGTGAAGACCGGTGACCACGCGTAGGATTGAGCAAGTGAACAGACATAATAGAGCCCATGCATTTCATATGCACTCTTGGGACAGCCTACTGGCGCCAAGTCTCGAGCTCCAGCGTCCGAAACGCGCTGCGCATCGCAAGTCTTCTGCAGCATGACGGCCAATCAAATCCATTAAAAATTCGAATCAAATTGTTGTCCAAAATTATACACAATGTTTGATTTGGGCGGACTAGGCCATCGACGCCGCAAGGGCCAGCGCCACGAACGCGAGAGCTGCACCGGTGGTGATGGCGCTGCTGACCGGCTTGGTGGGTGCGGGCGTATAGGCCGCCGACTCGGATGTCTTTGTCGTGCTTGGAGCTGTCGTTGTGTGCAAGGCAGTCGTCGCAGGGACGGCTGTCGTGGACGAGCCGCTCGGGGGTCGATACGAAAGAAGCATGGTCTTGAGACCTTTTTCCGGGTCCATCGAAGAAAAGTCGGTCGAGTCGACACCGCCATAGAGCATGGCGGCTCAATGGCCGCAGCCGCCGCCGCTGCTTTCTTGTACAACGCATCGCAATTGGTGTTCGTCCACGTCTTGCCTTGGTCACCGTCCAGAGAAGCAGCGCAATCACCCAAGTCGAAAGGCGTGAGGAGTTCCACGACAACGGCGTTGGAGCACGGGGCCGTCGTGGCCGACACGGCAGCAGCCAACGCAAACGTGAGGACGGTCAATGTCTTCATGGGTATGGATGTCTTGGTTCGGAACGAAATGAAAAGTGATTCGGCTGCTGTCGAATGCATCCACGAATTATCACGAGTTTCGACATCTGGTTGACCAGACGAGTCCTTCAAACATCTGGCTCGATCCGTTGAAGGTTGCTATTGTACCGGTAGGAGACGGTCTGCATTGCACAGGTTTGTGGCGACACGGATCCTGCACCCCACGAAGTCATCTCTTTCTCTTTTGGCAAGTAGTTTGAGCGAGCGCGCAAGAACTCGAAATCCCACGCGCGCCAAGTTGAATGGCGACAGCGAAAACCGCAGCGCACCATATATATTTCATGCTTTTGGCCTGCGAATATTGAGGTATCAATATTCCTTCTTGGACTCCAACGGAGGGTCCACCGCGTACAAGGTCTTGTCGTATTTTTCACTTCGCATTACTATCTTTCTTTGCCGACGATCTTCTTTAATCGCAGCAGCAAGCAGTCAGCAATTCGAATTACAATTAAAGTACGCAGCACTGGTCGCAACTCGTGCCAATCTGCACTGTCGAAGAGGACAGAGTACATCGATTGGGGCGCTTTGCAACCAACTCTACGAGCGTGTGCAAAAGGTTCTAAAATTTATTGCGTGAAATTTCGACCACCGCAACCTCGTGCACTCGTACTGGTACTTGATAGCGATCTGGCTGATTCCACCAGTACACTGGACGCATATTGGCAATATGCGCCTCGTGGAGGCGGTACGTGCACTAAATCGCTCAGTGGTGTGCTTTAACATGGAATAGCATGCTTCTTTGCAGTGGTTGCTTATCCGAGTCAGCTTCACCATTGTCCTATCTCCTGGTGTACTTCAGCTGGCTATCCACGCTTTTTCGTATTTTGCCCCAACTCGAAATCTACCTTTTTGTTGGTTTGGTCCAAGTACGGATCTCGTGCGTGCTCAGCTCTGTGATCCCAAACAAATAGATGCCGGCCGCCGTCAAGTCGTGGTTCTCTTGGAGAATCTCACGCGCCTCCTGTTACGTGAAGCAAGCGAAGACGAGGGTGTATATTCAAGAGTGATTTAATAGAGAGCCCATGCGCCGAGGGCTGCTCGTGGACACGGCCATTATGGCCCGGGTGATTGACGGGTCAATCGTTCGGGGAAAGCATGCCGCCGTAGGTGTGCGCTCTAGCGCGCCAGTGCATTTCCCGAGCACCGGACGATCGACCGACCGCGATGGAGGTTGCGCTCACGATTCGTCAGCGGCTATACAATCATCCATATAAAGGCTACACGTGCCACATTGGATTCGTTTGCGACCTCAAAAGGATGTCAATGAGAGGCTCGTTTACAGTGCACAGACCGGCACGTTGTGATTTATTTCTTTGCTCGTCCCTTGCCCATCCATTCGGATTCTTGTCCATGACTTTGGCACCGGTGATACAGGTTTTTAGTTGCAACTTGAAGCCGTTGGTGCCGCGTCCCGCAATCCCAACGCGCCACATCTACTTGGCAGCTCTGCTTGGCCTGTTCGAGAAACATCCCGCGAAAAAGGTGTCGTGCACGCCCCGTCCCAACCCAAACACAAGACCGTTGGAGCACCTTCTTTGGCGGTTGGACGTTCAGATTTGAATTGGCTCTGTTCCGATCATGTCGTTCAACTTGGCCCACGACCGCGATATCCTCAACAACATGACGTACTACGAAGTGCTCAAGCTCGCCAAGATGCACCACGTGCAGAGCACCAAGTACCGCATGAGCAAGGCGTATATGATCAACGCGCTCTTGGGCATGGACCCGAAGAACAACGTCGACCGCCTCGACTGCGAAGACAAGCTGGCGGCCACGCACGACTTTCGCATCGTGCGAAACGAGGCAGGTCTCCACACGCCATGAATCCTATTGAACTATTGCACTAGGTCGAGGAGTATATCTTCCAGCACGACCTCGGGTCGAGCGACGTGCTCTTGATCTCGTGGAACGAAGCGTCGATCAGCCACATTGCGCAGGCGCTCAAGGTGATGACCAACGCGGTGCCGCACTGGTGCAGCTTGAAGACGATGGACCGCGTGACGCACCAGCAGCTCCTCGACGATCTCATGGCGTATCTCTGCTTTGGCATCGAGCGCGTCGGCCGCGTCATGGTGCTGCCGGAGACTTGGCGCTTGCTTTCGAAGTGGCCGACCCCGTTGCACTGCCAACGCCGCGCCAGATGACGAATTGCGCGCCAGAGCTGGTTGATCATGCCGAGACGCGCCGCCGCGACTCGGACGCCAGCATGACGATCTTGCCCAACCACGGCGACGGCCAAACTAATGCGGCGGCAGAGGACTACGTGGTGGCAAGCCGACACGACGCCGACACACTCTTTTTTGTGGCATCGGCGCTGAGCTACAAGATGAAGGAGCTGTGGGTCATGGACCTTACGGGCGTTCGCAACGCGGCGCATTCCGGCGGGCACGAGTACGCACGCTGCCAACCCAAGTGCTACCTCATGGACAAAAGGTCCGACTGCGTGCATCGAGAGTATCTCTGCTACGATTCGTGCCACCGAACGGTGCACAACCGTGCCATGTTCAAGACGTACCACGTGAACATGGCACGGTTGTGCACCGTTCGGTGGCACGAATCGTAGCAGAGATACTCTCGATGCACGCAGTCGGACCTTTTGTCCATGAGGTAGCACTTGGGTTGGCAGCGTGCGTACTCGTGCCCGCCGGAATGCGCCGAGACGTACCACGCCCTCGTAGCAAACGCGCCGCTCCAATGGGCGCCCATGGAGTGGCTCCTTTTCGGGCAGCGCCTCCGCGACATCTCGTACGACCGCTTCATGCAGGACTTTGCCCGCGTGCCTGGCGTCTTTCCGCTGGCGACGTTCACGTTGGTGCG